CCATTAAATTCAAGACACCAAAAATTAGCCTTAAATAACTTTCTAAAAATTAAATCTCAGATGAAAAATCCGGCATATAAATACATAACAGCAAAAACTAAGACACCAAAATCAAAATCGATTCCATTTCCAATAAGATTAAATGAATTCATCAAAGACATTAAAAATATAAAGACCATAGAAGATTTAAAGTTTGAATTTCCTCCTTGGTTACTAAAGCACCCAAAAATTGATACGTCAATAGCAGGAATGGGCCAAGATGTAAAACTAGCAAAAACCTTAGTTAAAGAAAAAATTAATAACAATTTAAACTTTATTCAAATATATACGGATGGATCAAAAATGGAAAATTCAACGTCTGCAGCAATGGTGGCCTACTGGCAAAGGAAACGTGTTCAGGGATTAATGATGCACCTACCAGGACAAGCTTCAATATACACCGCAGAGATCCTTGCTATAGACATGCTTTTATATTTTATTATTAATTCAAAAAAAATAGATTCATAATATTCAGAATAGAAGTCAGGAAGTCTTGATCTCATTTGTGGAGGAAATAGATTTGATCAACAGAATTTGAAGTCTTCTAGATGTCACAACAAAATAATCAGTTAAAATAGTCGCATCGTACTGAAACGCCGTTAAGCTGCAAAAAAATTCATCTACATCGTCAACTAACAACTGCTTTTTATTGAATAATATTAAAAAAATTTCCAAGTTTCAATATCATCAATCATCATTTGTATCATTTAACAAGACCTTTAAGAAATTTTCACTATTTTTATATTTTTATTCCTCGTATTTTAAAAGTCTATTCCAAAAGTTTTTAATAGTATACTGGATTCAATATTTAAAAAAACTGTACGTTATATTAATAACTTTCAGTATTTTTTAATTATTTAATCTTTAATTTCTAATCAAACTGGTTTTATCGTAATTTGATATTTTGTTTTTGTGGTTTGTTGTTAGGTTTTTTTAAAGGCAGGTATGTTTGCCTCTGCCAATGAGTTAAATAAAAATTGAACTAGCGAGTTCCATCAACCCGGATCGACTGGTGCTAGTTATTTTCATTTATTTGATTACTTCAAAATTTAAATAAAGTTAAAACCATGAAAATATAAAAATGCTTGAATTTATGTTAAAAAATGTTTAAAAAGTAGGTTGAGAATTCGTAAAAAGTAAAAATACACGACAACAGTTGAAATAATTTCAAAAAAGGTAATAAATACATGAAAATACTTAGAACTACATTAGAAATTCAACAAAACAATTAACTAGTGAAAAAATAAAAAAAAGATTAACGCTGCTGAGATGTGGTTTTCGAGAAGAATTATGAAAATTAGTGGCTCATACTTCGAATGAGTATGTATTAAAACAGTCAAGTTATGATAAAGAGGAAATTACTAGAGATAATCCGATGAGGGGCAGTTAAAGTTTTTGGTCACATCATGCGTAAGGAAAAATTGCAAAATCAAGCAACTGCTGGAAAGATTGCAGGGAAAAGAGATCACTGTCACCAACGAATAACAGTCGTGAAGTCCTTGTGTCACTTGTTGAATATCACCACATTTCAACTACTACAAAGTGTTAAAGATCGGGTTTTGTGGAGGCTGAGGGTTGCCAATGTCCTGAAAGGATAAGGCATAAAAAAGAAAGAAGATTTGACAATACATAAAAAACAGATATCTAAACCATCAGTCTAACCAAAAAAACTCATTCACACTCAAAGCCAACTCCAATCTAACCAAAGCACTCATTCGCAATCAAAGCCAACTCATTTAACAAAGAATAACCAAAAACGAAGATCTATAAGAAAAACAATCAGTTTCGAAGGAAAATTTATAAATGTCACGATAATAGAATTGATCTGAATTTTAATCACAAGTAAAATTTATTTGCATGCACCACGCATAAACTAAGAATTGACACGTCAGCCAATACATTTCATGAGAATTTCCAACAAACATCTTTCTGAAAACAATCCAGTTTTGTTAAATAGATGTTTATTAAAGAACACAACCTATCTTGTTTATTTCAATTTCTACATGACAGAAATATCAAAATAACATTTTAACTTATTATTCACATCCATCAATTCTTCGTTTATCTGGATATTTTTGCGTTTTTTTAGATCGAGCATTTCAGGAATTAAATCGAAAACTTTATAATGAGGAGACATTTTTGTATTTGTTTTGGTTTTTTTTTCATGTTCAATTCATAAATTTTGAATAATATTTAGAAGCAATATCTATATTAATAAAATTAAACAACACTGTGAAAAACAAAAATGTAAAAAAGATTAGTTAAATAAAAAACAACGAACTAATAACAAGTAATAAAAAATGTTAGGGCAGACTAAATAATGACAAACAAATGAAATAAGTCTTAAGCTGTATTGTTAAACGTCATAACTTTTTAATGACAAACAAATGAAATAAGTTTTAAGCTGTTTTTTAAACGTCATAATTTTTGAATAACATTTAAAAACATTATTATTATCAAAATATTAAATAATAAACAAAATTTTTAAAAAATTAGTTAAATAAAAAATAACAACAACAAAGCAGCAAGGAAAACAGCAACAAAAATTTAAAAAATGTTGAGGGATATTAAATAGTCGTAATGTTTATAACTAAATTTTTGACATACAAATAAAATAAGTTTAAGCTGTTTTTTAAACGTCATAACTATTTAGAGATCTTAGATATGTGCAGGCTGTTCCAGACGTTTGGAGCGTAAAAAAAAATTGACGGGCACTAGTTTTGTTCATAGTTTGGATAGCTCTAATCAAAAGTTCTTCATCTGATCTCGTCTTTAAAAGTGTTTTGAAATAGGGTCACTTTTAGTAGTAGTCATGACCCAGTTAGTTCCAAAGGAGATGAATCTTCTGCCTAACTTCGGCATTTTAAGTTTTTTGATGATGTATTACGAATGATTTCACTATTGACTTTGCTAGGGAAATTAGCCCTAAACGAAAGAGTAAATTTTTTATTTTCTGGTTGCTCAATCTTCGTATAGTTTTTGGAGGGTAGGCCAAAAGGAAGGATTATTGAAAACATCTTCAAGAATGCAAGAATGTTTGTTTCATTTTTGAAAATTTTTGTCAAGCATCAGTATTTAAAATTCTTTCGTACTTTATGACACTTGTTCATTTTTTGTTACATAACCAAAAGTGAGTCATTTTTTTCAAATTAAATTGAAATTCCATGCACGATTTTTGTGTATACTTGGGTTGTTGTTGTTAGTCGGGTTTTATTAAAGACTCGCTGTAATTGACATGAAATGAATTAAACTAGAAAGAATAATTTTAAAATTTATAAGATGCTCTGCAAAAGCAAAAGGGAAATCAACGAAATGAACAAAAGGTTTGAAAGTGTTAAAAAAAACTTTGAGGATGTTATGACCGAACAAAGTTAATTTGTTTAAGGAAATGTTAAATTTTTATTTTAATGTTTTTTATATTTTTTTAAAAACAGATGAATTCATGAAGGCTTCTTCTGTTAACGTCGGCAAAGATGATCTTTCATTTATAATTTCTTTGTTAGTGTTGGAACTTTTTTCTGATTTAGGCTACATTTTTTATTCGGCAGTGAAATATAATTAGAAAACAACGCAAATTTAACTAGTGCAAATATAAAATTATATCGAATCTTTAGCATGCTACGCTCAACTTTTTACCGATAGGGGGATCTGCCTCTAAATGATAGTCAATGTAAACATAGCGTGTAGAATAATAAAATTGTTTGAATTGCTTGGGCATGGAATATTAACAAAATATTTTACCAGCTTTAGGAGCGTGGTGAGTAAATAATAATAAGAAAAATGTCGTTTATAAACGCCATGAAGCGACTTAAGCGCCTTGAAATTAAAAAATTAATTGCATTTTGATGAAGCTTCCTGACTTAACATGATTAATGATTTAAATGATTGAAAAGCTGCATGACACACATTCACGCTGGTAATAAAACTGACTTCTTTCCGTTTTCAGACATTTTTTGTAGTCTATCAAATGCAGCACTGACCATAACCGTTCGGTTGAAATTATTGACTGTTTCGAGGTTTTGTCTTTTACAGTCTAAACATACCATGATCCAACAAACCGCATACTAACCAGTACGAAATGCAAAAGAAAGACAAAAGCCACTTGCAAATCAACTAGTCTCAAACAATACACTACGTTAGGACAATATTGATAGATAAACACAGTAAAGTAAAGTAAAGTTAATGAAATATTTACTATTATAAAAAGCAACAACGACATCAGCAAAAAACTATCAAATCAAAAATAAGCTTGGTCAAAACATATAATCAACTTTTATCTATAACCTTTTAGAATCTAATTTTCATTTTTATATCTGTAAATAAAAACCAAAACAGTTGATCCTTCAACTTTTATAATTCATAGAAAGACTTCACTTTCTCAAACGTGATTCACGATAGCTCGCTATTTTTATAAGTTTTTCTGTTGCAATTATTGGTTCTAAGAAAGCAGTTCAGTTTCGTTTTTTTTGCTCTGCTTGACATATCATTTGTTCAAGTCAAAAAACACCTCTATTCAAAATGCCAAGTCAATAAATCAATCTTCGTTTAGCGTCCAGAGACCCAGTTCTCCGAGGTAGGACGTTGTTATCTTTGCCATCAATTTTTTGCGCCAAATTAGACGATTAGTTGTATCCATTCATTTAAATTTAGAGCTTTCATGTCTTGCTCGATTGTCTGGACTAGGACTTCTTTGGGCGGCCTTTGGGACGTGTGCCAGGTACTTCAACATTTGCAAGAGAAGTTATGGCACTGTTTCCACTTCGTTTGACATTACCAAACCACCTCAGTCGGTGTTGCCGGAATTCGTCCTTTATATCATCTAAACCAGCACGACGCAGGATTTTGGTAGATTTTATGTGGTCTTTCAGACTAATTAGTAAGTCCGGAAAAACATAAATGTATGATGACTGAAGGTATCACTTTTTGTATCGTGTTGTTATATTTTGAATGAAGTGTTTCTTTCATTTTAAGAAGACGATTATTTTGCGTCGTAATTTAGTTACAGGCGTGGTTTGTGTTGTAGCATTGTAGTAAACATTGAGCGGAAAAGAGGTCTGTGTGTTGTTAAATGTTGAATTTTGAATGGCATTTTGAAATATTTGAAATATTATCATCTTATCTAAAGTGTCCAATTTTGTTTGTCCTGCTTGCATCAATCCACAACAACAAATACGAAATAAAATGTTTTTGAAAGCATTACGGTAGAGAAAGTCACATCGTTTCATTATATAGGGTATGTTCTGGATTGTACTGGAACAGCTGAAGCTGCCGTTCGAGCACGCATACGTGCAGCCTAAAATAAATGGCATCTCCTTGCCTTTATATTGTTGCGGAATTGATTGTCTTTATATTGATTGGAACAACAACTTCAACGAACCGACATGAATATGCTCCGATGGATGCAACGAATTAGTCTGATGGACCACATCAAATCTACCGAAATCCTGCGTCGTGCTGGTTTAGATGACATAAAAGATGAATGCCGGCAACACCGTTTGCAGTGGTTTGGTCAAGTCAAACGAAGTGGAAACGGTGCCATAATTTTTCTTGCAGATGTTGAAATACCTGGCACACGTCCCAAAGGCCGTCCAAAGATGTCCTGGTCGCAAAAAATCGAGCAAGACATGAAAGCTCTAATTTTAAATGAAAGGGATACAACTGATCGTCTAATTTGGCGCAAAAATTTGGCAAAGAAAACAACGTCCTACCTTGGGGAACTGGGTCTCTAGACGCTAAACGAAGATTGATTGATTGATTGAACTCTTCTTAAATTAAATTACTTTTTGCTAATCTAGCAGAATAAATTTGGAGATCATCAACATACATATGGACCCCAAAACCATATTTTTTCACTGAAACATACATCAAAAATAGAATCGACCCCATCACTGAACCCTGGAGAATACCAGTAACGAACTTTTTATATTCAATTCATCAAAAACGTGGCAGACCAATCCAGAGCAACGTCAGAAATACAAAAAAAACCGCCAATCTCTTTTACAGCACACCATTGTCAACTTTGTCAATCGCTGAAATGAGGTAAGTGAAGCCATTAACACCTCCCTACCATTATTCACCTCATTGATAATCTCATCAAACACCTTCAGCAAAGCTGTTTCTGTAGATGACCGTGGTCTGTAAGCTGACTGAAATCTGGGCAACAACCGGTGGGCAGACAGGTGACCAAACAGACAAGCAAGCACCAATCGTTCGAAATTGCCGACTTCAGTCCCCGGGGAAACACCAGTTTTGAATGAAGTATTTATCCACAATAAAAAAGAAATGGCAGTAAATAATTCAAAAATCTCAACTGCTTTGAGAGAAATGAGTCTAAACCACATGTTGTTGGCTTTGAATTTTGACTAAAACACCAAAATTGAAAATTTACTAAGTTTAAAGAAATTGCGAGATGTTGCTACACTGGTAGCTGCAACCTTGTCAGTGAAAAATCGCGTAAAATCACCAGTTTTTTACGATGTATGATGAGAAGTTTGCTTTTTGTTCACCGAGCAGATTGTTGATTGAATGCCGATGTTGTTTTGGGTTTGATCTACTCTCGGTGATATTTGTATTTCAAAATAAAGTCCTCTTACAGTTATACAGGGCGTGCAGCTGTAACAACTGATTTTTTCAGCAATTTTTATCGGAGCCAGATGTGTTCGTCTGAAAACTTTTTCGCGTATCCTGGTAGCTTGTCTTTCTTGAAAACAATCATTATAGAACAATCATTATAGAGTCTTTAACCTTGGTCAAAGACCTAACAAGGTCAAAAACACTGACATAGCTAACCTTTTCAGCAACATCATTATTAAGGCGACATAACTGAAATAATTATTCAGTGATCAGACATCACCGGTGAGTGAACCAACACCTGGCGAACCACCAGCGAATCACTCATATTACCAGATCGAGAATATTTTTTGAACCATGATTTGGTGAATCGACAATCTGAACCAAACCATATGTTGCTATCAATTCTGTAAAACTAGATGATATATGGTTCTCACGATCGTTGATTTGAATGCTGAAATCGCTCGTAAGATCGGCCTTTGGAGACTAATCGTGAAAAACCGTTGGCAGAACTTATTTATGGATCTTTCACATGGAGCAGTGGAACTAGGTCTGTAAACTCCAAGACAGATAATTTTCTTTGATCTGAATATTAACAGACAGGCTATTGCCTTAAACGTTTCAAAACGACGACCAAGGTTATTGTGTTACATTACAAATTTTCATTCGTTATATATTATGGTTAGATCACCACCTCTTCTGACTTGACCATCCGGAGGATTCGTAGTGAATCCAGGTGAGCAAACGGTTCGGGAACGCACATTTTTAAAGCTGTGTTACTTGAAGAATTTTTTTTCTGTTATCAATCCAATTATTCTTAATCTTGATAATTTATCTCTCTCAACTTTTAAATTTTATGCTCTTTTTAAAAATTCTGCTATCCACCCATTCTAAAAAATTCTTTGAAATATTTTTTTGTTTCTAATTATAGACATTTCTAACCTTTTTTTTTTATCTCAAAAATACTTAAAAAAAATGATTTTCCAGCAACTCTTTTCTTATCTCAACTTAACCTTTTTACTTCCTTCTACTCATTCTAGTTTTAGGCTTGTTCATAGTATAATAATAGAAGAATAATAATAATAAAATAATAGTATAATAATGTTCATAATAGAAAAAGTAGTTTTTAATCAACTGTCATCCTATTTAGACTTTAACTCCTTGCTACCTGTATACAATCTGGTTTCAGACCTGCTCACAGTACTGAAACTTCTTTACTTAAAATACACAATGATATCCTTCTCTCTAGTGATAATAGTAATCTTACTCTTCTTCTTGCTCTTGACTTTTCCTCGGCTTTTGATACTGTTGACCATACTATTCTCTTGAGACTGCTGCATCTTTCTTTTAATATTACTGATTCTTGTCTATCTTGGTTTACTTCTTATCTCTGTAATCGTTTTTCTTCTGTTCTCAATAGTTCTTCTTCTAACTTCTCTACTCTTACTTTCGGAGTACCTCAGGGTTCTATCCTTGGCCCTCTTCTATTTATATTCTATACTTCTGAATTACTTCGTATTATTAATAACTTTTCTTTCTCTAGTCAACTATATGCTGATGATTCTTACATTTATACTTCTTTTCCTCCATCTAATCTCAATAGTGTTCTTCATAATTTATCTCTATGTCTTTCTTCAATTATCGCTTGGTCTGACTCTATGTGTCTTAAACTTAATCCTTCTAAGTTTGAATTAATTTATTTTAATAAATCTAAACACTCTATTACTATTCCTTCTATTATCTTACCTGATTCTAAAACTCTTGATGTCTCTCATAAGTTTCGTAGTCTAGGTTTTATCTTTGATTCTACTATGTCTCTCTCTTCTCAGATTAATAGTGTTGCTAGAAGCTCTTACTTTCATCTACGTAGAATAAAAAAATTTTTGCCTTTTCTTGATGATCCTACTCTTCTCCTTCTTGTTACTTTGTTAGTCTTATCTAGGATTGATTATTGTAACTCGCTCTACTATGGTCTTCCTGACTCTATACTCTATCCTTTAAGTAAAGCTTTTAACTATGCTGCTCGTCTAGTTGCTCGTGCCCCTTTCTTTTCTCATATATCTCCATATCTTGTTCTCTTGCACTGGCTACCTATAAAATATAGAATAATTTTTAAAATTTGCACGTTCATGTATAAGTCTCAATCTAAATTATTTCCTAAGTATTTATCAGATATATTAATTGAACCTAAACGCCCCGGTTTACGATCGTCTTCTTGTTCTCGCTTTTTCTTAACACGTGTTAAACACTCTTTTGCCAAATCTGCTTTTGCTTTTTCTGGTTCTTTTCTCTGGAACTCTCTACCTACTTCTCTGACTACTTCTCCATCACTTGCGAAGTTCAGAGCGGATCTCAAGACCCATTTGTTTTCAAAATTCATTGAGGAGCGCTGTTGATCATCGCGGAAATAGCGCTTTATAAGCTAATTTATTGATTGATTGATTGAGTATTGAGAGTTCTGTTTTAAGAATTCATAATGATATTTTTCTTGCAAGCGATGCTAGAAATCTCACTTTTCTTCTTGCCCTTGACTATTTCTCAGCTTTTGATTCTGTCGATTATTGTTTTTTGCTAAAACTTTTTCAACAGTCTTTTAACATCATGAATTATTGTTTTTCCTGGTGTTTGTCTTTTCTTAATGATCGTTACTCCCATGTTGTCTTAAAAACTTTTTCTATTCCTTTTTCAGTTGCTTTTAATCTACCTCAAGGCTCTTTAGTCATCTTTTTTATATATATACGTCTTATTTGCTTCGCATAATTTTTTTTCAAAAATCGACTTTATGCTGATGGTCATGATTCTTTTATATATACTTTTTTTCCTGAATCTAATTCATTAATAATTTAACATTATGTCTTAACTTTGTTACTTCTATAAATACTTTTATGTTACTTAAGCTTAATCTTTCTAAGTTTTAATAAGTCTAAAAATTCTATCAATCTTTCTTTTATTACTTTTATTTCCTGACCTGTCTTTAATTTTTTATACTTCTATACTTAGATTACTTTGACTCGGTTATATTTTTTTGTCAATCAATCAATCTTCGTTTTGCGTCCAGAGGCCCGGTTTCCCGAGGTAGGACGTGGTTTCATTGATTTTTGAAGATTTCTTTGTCTTCTTAAATTAATAAGAATTTAATAATAATTTTAATAATAATTTTTAAACTAATTAAAAAAAACTCTTACATTTTTTTGATGGTTTTGCTCTTCAATTGCTTGTTTTTTTGCTGGTTTTATCTGCCTTATCTCTAATTGATTATTGTAACTCACTCTATTTTGGACATTCTGAATCTACTTTATACCCTAAAACTAAAGCCTTCAATTCTGCTGCTCGCTTGGTTTCTCGTGCTTCTCTGTTATCTCACATTTCTACTTTTCTAAAACTATAACTACTTATGGCTATATTTTAAAATACTTCTTAGGTATAGAATTGTCTTTAAGCTATGCACTTTGATGTTCAAATCTCAATCTAACAATTTTTTTAAATATTTTTTTAATCATTTGCCTATACCTAAACGCTCTGGTCTTAGATCTTCTTCTCATTCTCACTATTTCATAATATCTTAAACACTTTCTTACTTTTTTTTACTGTTGCTCATACTTCTTCTGAATCACTTTTTTCTACATTTCATTAGTTAGGGCTGGTCTCTAAACTTATTTTAATACATTAATGAATAAATTATGTAATTTATGATTTTTTAATTGTTAGTAATTTACAAGTTTTGTTCCGACAAAGCTTTTTATTTGTTATTGTTGTTTAAATTTATATTTGATAACAGAGCAAAGAAAATTAAAAGATTGAATATTTCAGTTGAGAATATTAAATTATACGGAGACGAAGTTTCAAAAAAAAACAAAGTTGCGCACTTGGTAAATTTAAAAAATATTTACATGCATACAAATATAATCTCATTAGAACATATTGATTAACTAGGAAGTTAAAGAGTTAGATTGTATCAGTTTTGCAGCTAATTTCAATCCAAATAGACGAATGACTGGTGAATTTAAACGTTATCAAATAGACAACAATAAACTTTTGTATAATAGCCCAAAAATGTAAGTTGATTTTAATTGCTTTGAATGATTGGTTAACATTTTCTGCCGTATTTCATTGGTGCTGTATACATAAGTCTGAAATGTAAAGCGGTATGTTATGATGACACCTCTTATGGCAATCTATGCGAGGAGGGAAAAGACCAGATTAATGGAGATATGGTGTACTCATGGAAAAGTAGTACTGATCATATTGGTCGTCTTAAAAGAACAATTGAAAAAAGGTTTGAAACACCTGTAGAAAGGCAGCGAACTTTCGTTAGCTTTGAGATTTAGCGAACGTTCAGTTTTTAGCAATTTCGGAGGGATAAAATTTGTGAATATAAAATGTTTGTATGAGATAAATATCAATTTTTAGTTTATAATGTAGTTTCTTGATCTGGGAAGTTTAAAATTAGTGTTTTTTATTCTAGGATTATGTGGTAGATAGTTAATTTAGTTTTACATAAGTTGCATACTGGTGGAGACATTTTTTGGATTATATATTGATGAGTTAATTTGCTTTGTCCAATTTTTATTTTATTTATTGTTGTTTGATAACGGCGTTTTTAACTCAGTTTCGGCTATATCTGCTATATTTATGTTGTTTTATTGTTTTTCAAGTCATTTTCTTTTATTGATGTAATAGTTTTCAAAAAGTATATGCATGTTATGTTTAGTATGTATAAAAATTATTGTTTTTTTTTTAAATTCTTGGATTATGTGGTAGATAGTTAATTTAATTTTACATATGTCGCATATTGGTGGAGACATTTTTTGGAATATATATTGATAAGTTAATTTGCTATGTCTAATTATTATTTTGTTTATTTTTGCTTGATAACATCTTGCTAAATCTATTTCTAAATCCAAGTTTTGAATGGCTATTTTTGGTCACTGAGTTAGCTCAGTCGGCAAAAGTGCCACTCATCCTATAGCCAAGTTTCTCAACAAAACCCTTACTCCGTATATCAATAACGACTACAACCTACAATCTTCAAAAGAATTTTTAAGTTTACTGAACACAAACCAAACATGCAATCATATTGCTTCACTTGATTATTATTTTTGTCCACCAATGTTCCCATCAAAGATACTATTTACATAATAACACCGTTTACCACTCCAACTAAACTCTTTTGAAAATACCTAAACAAATGCTAAAATCATTGTTAAAAATGTGCTAGTGTTTTTTGAAATAAACTATTATAACTGGCGGTTTAAGAAAAAGTGGCAAACCAAAGCTCAACTTGGAAGAAGTGTTGTCAAAGGATATGAGGGCACTTGGCCTGAAACCAGAATTGGCCCAGAATAGAGAAAAAGACGGTTATATATGCGACAAGGCCAACCCGGGGTTTTCGTTAGCGAACCCTGGAACGAACGTTGGACGGCTCTGTATATTTGTTGGAGGGAACCCATATTTTATAAGTATTGTATGAATTCTACTCAATTTAAAATTTTTTCAGGTTTCCTTATTAGAATTTTCTGGAAGTTATTCAATTTATTAAAAATAAAATTATTATCAAAATTCATCATGCAGATATTTGAGATTTGATAGCTTCATTTACAATTGACGCATCAACTCTAATAATCAGCTAAATTTCTGATAACATTACAAAAATAATAATCATTACAAAAATAATAATTTATTAAAACACCAACACAATGCACTTTAAAAATGTAGAATCTGGCTGTTCTAATAGACATCGAAAAACCCAAATAAACATACAATAATGAATGATTAATTACATCATTACCAACTCGACGCCTTAATACTTACTTCAATAACAATGGGGAATAAGGAACCGACACCAACAAAGAAGATGAAGGATATGACACTAATCAATTATCTACCTATCCTCTGCCTAAGAAGTTATGTAAACTAAAGGTCCACTGAAGATGATTTGTGAAAATTCGAAATAAGCCTATCTGCATACGATGAACTTGTATAATAATAGTTTCGTTATTAAATTATTATGAATTTAGATAAAAATTCTATTTTTAATAAAATTGAACAGTTTCCAGAAAATTCTAGCGAGGAAAATTAATAGGACAAACTTTAAATTGGTTAATGCCATCAATTTGGTAGAATTCATGCAATACAATAAATGTTATTACATTATTATACATAAATACATCAACTATTTTTACATTACATTACAAAAATAATAATCATTACAAAAATAATAATTTATTAAAACACCAACACAATGCACTTTAAAAATGTAGAATCTGGCTGTTCTAATAGACATCGAAAAACCCAAATAAACATACAATAATGAATGATTAATTACATCATTACCAACTCGACGCCTTAATACTTACTTCAATAACAATGGGGAATAAGGAACCGACACCAACAAAGAAGATGAAGGATATGACACTAATCAATTATCTACCTATCCTCTGCCTAAGAAGTTATGTAAACTAAAGGTCCACTGAAGATGATTTGTGAAAATTCGAAATAAGCCTATCTGCATACGATGAACTTGTATAATAATAGTTTCGTTATTAAATTATTATGAATTTAGATAAAAATTCTATTTTTAATAAAATTGAACAGTTTCCAGAAAATTCTAGCGAGGAAAATTAAAAGGACAAACTTTAAATGGGTTAATGCCATCAATTTGGTAGAATTCATGCAATACAATAAATTTTATTATATTATTATACATAAATACATCAACTATTTTTACCCATATATATGTATGTATATATAGTCCTGGGCATGACATAAAACTGCATCTACGCTGCCTTGCGTGCTTTTGGTAGAATTCATGCAATACAATAAATTTTATTACATTATTATACATAAATACATCAACTATTTTTACCCATATATATGTATGTATATATAGTCCTGGGCATGACATAAAACTGCATCCACGCTGCCTTGCGTGCTTTTGAGCAAAAGGCTAGGCCCACCGCTTATAACTGGTGGTTGTCGTCAGGATAGGTGTCCGGATGTAAAAACCTTTCTCCAAATTACTCTTATGCCATCACAAAGAAAAACAACGGCTCCTAGTTCCCAGCAGGCCTTAAGAAGTCAAGGGGTGCCAAGAATCTCAGGGAAATATGCAATAGCGGAGGGATGTTGCAGAAAAATTTAGAATGGCTCTCTATGGTACTTAGACTTGGAACGCTCAATGTTGAATCACTGACCTGCCGCCGCATGGAAATCGCAGAAATTCTCGAGCGTAGAAGGATTGACATCTGCTGCCTTCAGGAAACCAACCCGATAGAAATCGAATGGTGTCTGTCATGTCAACTCAGACAAAGAAAAATATAAACTACTCTGGAATGGTGAAAAGACGGTCAAAAATGGTGTTTGAATTTTTGTCAGAGAACCGCTAACACAAGAAGTACTGGATATTAAAAGGATTAATTCACGTCTCATGTGGAACAAGCTTCGCATAGAAAACAAACAATGATTATTCTTTCTGCATACGCACCATGGACAAGCGAATCAGAAGAGATGAAAAATGACTTCTGGGCTGCATTCTCTGACACCATCTCAACAATACAAAATCTGAAAAACAATATTCATCGAGAAAAATTTCAACAGATTGAAAGCTATGAAGGATGGAAAGGCAGCAGGGCCCTCTGGACTCAAAAATGACATTATCAAAACATCTGGTACTGTAGGTAGCCAAACGTTACTACAACTTTGCCGTTAAGTGTGGAGAAATTGCTCAATGCCGACTGAATGGAACTACTATAGCATGGCAGTCCCACTATACAAAGGCAAAGGTGATCCATTGAACTGTTCATCATATCAGGGTATACGTCTGTTAGAACACTCCCTGAAAATTGTCGAGATAATCACTGAGAGAAGAATAACGTCGTGCATCACAATCGAAAATTATCAATTTGGTTTCCTAGCGGGGAAATCAACAATTGATGCAATTCACATTCTTCGGCCACTGCAAGAAAAGTATCTTACAAAGCATCAACAACTATCACACATTTTTGTAGACTTTGAAAAAGCATGTGATCGAGTTCCCCGTGAGGCAATCAAATGGAGTCGACATCGACAACTCATTCCAGAATATCTTGTTCGAATAGTGATGGAAATGTATACGAATACTAAGACTCTTGTCAGCACAACGGTTGGAAACACAGATGCATTTGACATCGACGTTGGAGTTCACCAAGGCTCGATTCTCAGTCCACTGTTATATATAACTGTGATGGAAGAAATCACAAAACCGATATGCACTGGTGACAATTGGAATCTAATATAGGCAGATGATATCGTTTTAACAGCCACGTCTGACCAGAGTGCAGCACAGATGTTTGAAGATTGGAACACCAGACTCGCCGATCATGGATTCAAAGTCAACATAAGCAAAACCAAAGCAATGAACACTGGTGAGTGAACCCATCCAATCCACAGCTACTGGACGATGGCCCTGTTTAATTTGTAAAGCTGGTGTAGGTAACAATTCAATCAAGTGTCAGCAATGTAACCAAGGGTGTCACAAACGTTGTTCAAAAATAATTGGTACTTTATCTAAAATGTCCAATTTTTTTCAGTTATACACTTTCTTTCATCTTCCTTACCTAGTGTAGTTTAAGATTTTGTCCTTGGACCATCAACTTTCATCATCAATGCTTCTACTCTCAAAAATCATCATAGCTCTAATCAAATCATCAAATACGCTGACGACACCTACCTTATCATCCCTTTATCTAACATAAAAACCATCCAATCAGTTCTCGACTCGTTAACTACGTGGTCAAAGCAAGGCAATCTGTCACCTAAACTCAATGAATCATTCGAACTCATTATACACAATAGTCGTAAGAAAATAGCATTACCTTCAGAGCATCCATCATTCACTTGCATGATTCAATGAACTTATTAGGCATGCCATTTACCTTCATACTTATTGTAGCATCTCATATTAATCACATCATCACAAAAGGTTTTCAAACATTTCACGCACTTCAAAACACTTCGCTCACCTAGCATCAGATTATTCGACATTACAGAATCACTCATCATATCACGCTTCAAATATGCAGCTTTTGTCTAGTTTCGCTAGACAACAACAACTCCAACAACTACAATCTCTCATTCATCAAAAATCTAATTCATCTCAACTATCCTCCTGCATCATATTTTAACGTTTCTCAAATATTCAATACTATTAACTAGTCTATTAATTAATTATTCTGTTCATTCGTTTATTCAAATCATTGTTTATTTATCATCCTCGCTATGCTTAAACATTCTTACTCCTTAAACATTCTTTCCCCTTATTGATCACATAACTTACTTACTAAGTCATTAACTGGTCAATTAATTATTTTATTTATTTATTAGTTTTTTAAAATCATTATTTCATTTTCTATGCTATCATGCTTAAACATACTTACTCCGTTATTTATTTTCTTTATCGTTTTATACCATTGCCTTACTTGTTGTAACAGTTTCTGCGTCTGTCAGATTTTGATTTTTTAATGAATAATAAAAAAGATTACAGAGCCAAGAATTAAAACTTAGAAATTGAGAAACCTGGAAACCATGAGAGCATATCAAAATATGATTTGAACGGGGTTTAACATCGATAAAAATTTGGGTGTATGGTTAGGATTAGGTTTAATAGCGTGGATACAAATCAGCTGGCTTTTGTTTCCATCCAAAAGCTACAAAATTTCACCAATCTATTATTTAGCAATGGTTATAAGCTTTCCCACATCAATGAAGTCCTATAAATTATAAACGTGGAAGCTGAAAAATTAATTGGATAGATTTCATACACCAACCTTTTAGTTGGCACGCAAAATAGAAAAAAATTATCTTTTTCGCATTCAGTCATTGCAATGTGATGATGCTAAAATTACATGTATGAAGACCCTTTTTTTCTAATGTTATTAGATACGAATAATTATAATTTTTTTATTGACTCATTACAGGTTTTCTAATAAGGATGTTATAAAACACAAATATTCTCAAGAAGCAATCAAGTTTGAATTACCTTTCGAATGTCAACATTTTAAAAACAAAAATTTAAGTGCAGTGGAAAGGGCAGATATGACAGACACTAAATTAATCAACAACATAGCTAAAAATGATAATGCTAAAAGTAAATTCAATTTTTTTATTAAACTTTTCTGTTTGATGTCTTGTGAGTATTCTGTTCTTTTAAATATTTAATTTAGTTTTAAATATTTCTTTTGAAAATTATTATTTAATTAGGATATTTTATAAAATGATTAGTTTCAAGCACTTTTAAAAGTAGGTGTAATAATTTTGTCAAACATGCTAGAACCTTTTTAGAAGTAAAGTTAAAAAGTATTTTGTTAAATAAAAATAGACTATGGTGTTAATTTCCTGTTAAGTTATTTCAGTCTTAGTGGAAAGCAATCACTAAATCAATCTTCGTTTAGCGTCCGGAGACCCAGATCACCGGAGCAAGACGTTGTTTTCTTTGCCATCATTAGGCGATCAGTTGTATCCATTTCCTTTAAATTTAGAGCTTTCACGTCTTGCTCGATTGTTTGCGACAAGGACTTTCTTGAACGGCCTTTGGGACGTGTGCCAGATACTTCAACATTTGCAAGAGAAGTTATGGTACTGTTTCCACTTTGTTTGACATGACCAAACCACCGCAGACGGTGTTGCCAGCATTCGTCCTTTATATCTTCTAAACCTTCAGACTAATTCGTTGCATCCATCGGAGCATATCGGTTCGGTGAAGTTGTTTTAGTTTGGTTGCCATTGGCCATGCACTATATAACAACACCGGACGTATCACAGATTTATAAAATCTAGATCGTAGCGATAGTGGGATGTCACGCCGCATCAATATAGAAGTAAGGAGATGTCATTTATTCCAGGCTGCACGTATGCTTGCTCGAACGGCAGCTTCAGCTATTTCAGTACAATCCAGAACATTCCCTAGATATTGAAACGATGCGACTTTCTCTACCTTAATGGCTTCAAAAACATTGCTATTTCGAATGTGTTGTTGTGGGTTGATGCAAGCAGGAGAAACAAAATTGGGCACTTAAGATAAAGTACCAATTATTTTTGAACAACATTTGTGACACCACTGGTTACACTGCTTACACTTGATTGAATTGTCACCAGTGTTCATTGCTTTAGTATTGCTGATGTTGACTTTGAATCCATGATCGGCGAGTCTGGTGTTCCAATCTTCAAACATCCGTGCTGCATTCTGCCCAGACGTGGCTGTTAAAACGATATCATCAACATATATTAGATTCCAAATGTCACCAGTGCGTATCTGTTTTGGGATTTCTTCCATCACAGTTATAAATAACAGTGGACTGAGAATCGAGCCTTGGTGAACTCCAACGTCGATGTCAAATGCATCTGTGTTTCCAACCGTTGTGCTGACGAGAGTCTTAGTATTCGTATACATTTCCATCACAAGTCGAACAAGATATTCTGGAATGAGTTGTCGACCTGATTGCTTCACGGGGAACTCGATCAATTGCTTTTTCAAGGTCTACAAAAATGCGTGATAGTTGATGCTTTGTGAGGTACTTCTCTTGCAGTTGCCGAAGGATGTGAATTGCATCAATTATTGATTTCCCCGCTAGGAAACCAAATTGAAAATTTTCGATTGTGACGCAAGACGTTAATCTTCTCTCAATGATTTTCTCGACAATTTTCAGGGAGTGTTCTAACAGACGTATACCCCGAAATGATGAACAGTTCAATGGATCACCTTTGCTTTTTATAGCGGAACTGTCATGCTATAGTTCCATTCAGTCGGCATTGAGCAATTTCTCCAGATTTCACGGCAAAGTTGTAGTAATGATTACATACCTGCGGTACCAGATGCTTTGATAATTTCATTTGTGAGTCCAGAGGGCCCTGCTGCCTTTCACTCCTTCATAGCTTTCAGAGCTTCTGTAAGCTCCTCTACATTGATGTCTTGAATCGGACCTTCGATGGGTGGAGCGTCAAAGTTAACATTGATGGTATTTGTTTTGTTTAACAGACGGTTGATGTATTCTCTCCACTGTAGCTTGATCTCATCTTGTTCAAGAACCATCTCATTTTTGTCATTTTTAATACATGAGGCACCAACTATGTCTTTTTTCGTACGCTTTGCTTGTTTTGCTATACGATACGGAGATTTCATTTGTTCACCTTTGTATTTAGTGAGCCACTCTCTGCACTGATCTGTCCGATCCAGTGCAACTTGACGTCTTGCATGGTTGTTCTTCTTACGGAAAATTTTATGGTCATCAACAGACTTTGATTTTTGCCATTGCCTGTATGCAACTTTCTTTTCAGCTATTGTATTTTGTACACTGTCATTCCACCACCAAGTGTCTCGTTCATGCTGACGTTTTGTACCAGTTTTCCCACAAACTGTAGTTGCAGCGTTCATCAAAATGGTTTTGTATGTACTCCAATCTGTACTGGCTTGCGATTGGTGGTCTAACTGTGTGGCGACAATCTGTTGAAATTTAGCCTTCGGTGTTGTTGCTTGACAGCGAAGAAATCAATTTGCGTGGCTGATGGTCCACTTTTGTATGTTATGAGATGTTCCAACCTCTTTCTAAAATATGTGTTCAGTAAACAAAACCCGTGACTTTCAGCAAACTCAAGGATGCGGTTGCCATCTTCATTCCGTTTTCCATAGCCAAAACCGCCATGTACGTTGTCAAAACCATCGGTTTTCTCTCCAACGTGGCCATTGAGATCGCCTCCAATCAGGATTGTTTCAGATTTTGGTATGCAGAAAAAATAATCAGTTTGCTTTTCTATGCGAAGCTTGATCCACATGAGACGTGAATTAATCCTTTTAATATCCAGTACTTCTTGGGCTAGCGGTTCTCTGACAAAAATTCCAACACCATTTTTGGCCGTGTTTTGACCATTCCAGATGGTCTTGGGTATGACATAAAATGCATCCACGCTGCCTTGCGTGCTTTTGAGCGAAAGGCTAGGCCCACCGCTTATAACTGGTGGTTGTCGTCAGGATGGGTGTCCGGATGTAAAAACTTTTCCCCAAATTACTCTTATGCCATCACAAAGAAAAACAACGGCCCCTAGTCCCCAGCAGGCCTTAAGTGGCCAAAAAACTTTAGTGAGAAAAATCGAAAAAACGAACTACAAACATATTAAAGACAAACATTTGGTAGAATTTATAGAATATTGTAAAAATAATGGTCTATTACCTACATTTACATACATATATATATATTTCAAAAATTCAACACTACTTTCAACAATGTTGAATTCAAAGTGAACAATG